AAAAAATGAGGTACATAGAAAGGGAATGGACTGACTATTCTTGGGGGGGAAAGGGGTGTGGGAGATGCGGGAAGAGATTGGACAAAAAGCGTGCACCTATGGATGAGGACAGTGGGTGGGGAGTGAGGGCAGGGGTGGGGCGGGAACTGGGAGGAGGGGAGTTATGGGGGGGAAAAAGAGGAACAAATGTAATAATCTGAACAATAAAGATTTAATAAAAACAACCAAAATAAGATATGTGCAGTGTGCATAGGAATTTGTTCATAGGTTTTTTTAAAACTATAGTCCGGCCCTCCAACAGTGAACTGGCCCCCTGTTTAAAAAGTTTGAGGACTCATGGCCTAGAGATACAAGTATTTACCATGTTCTATGTAGTGCATCACTGTAAATGGTCAAAGACTGAAGGGGAAAAAATGAAATATCCAGGAAAATGGCTAACTTATGTCATAGCTACTCAATGAATCACTATATATCCACTTAAAAGGATTAGGTAAATCCCTATATACTACTGTAAAAAGATAACTGTCAAGTGAAATGAGCAAACCGCAAAACAGTATGCGTAGTGGGACTCCATTTCTGTGCCTTAGTAGGTCTGGAGGCATAAACGCCAGGGACGTGAGGTGACAGGACCTGGGGGGCCATGGAATTGAGGTGGGAAGGCTGCCCGGCCGCCCGGCTTCACTAAGCAGCTCACAGTCCTGGGTTTCGTAGGGCTGACTGCCCCGCCCCCACGGAGACAAGGGTGATGGAGACGGGGTGATGGAGGCGGGGATGATGGAGCCAGGGGTGCGAGTGGGCCAGGAGCAGAGCTGGGCCCGCGTGAACCCAGCATCCGCTCAGCAGGGCACTGAGGCGGCTGCTCACTGTGCACCGAGCATTTCCGAGGCTGCGTCCTGGGCTGACGGCGGGATGCCCAGCCTCGGGAAGAACAACCGCGCACCCAGCGGGGCGGGAGACTCACAGGCAGACCGGAAGGGGACGCTGATCTTGCCCTGCACGCTGCTGATGGCGACCACGTGGCCCCGCCGCCGCTGGACCATGGAGGGCAGGAGCGCTGCAGGAGAGTCGGGGCTTCAGGAGAGGACTTCCTCTGGTCGCCGCCCCCCGCCCCCCACGAGAGGAGGCGGCCTCCCATTGGATTTCACGGGCGCCCGGAGGTGCACGGTGAGGCCCTCAGTGGGGAGGAGCGTGTTCCGGGAACTTCTGGGCCTCCTGCACCCGCAGAGCCCGCAGAGGGAGGCAGAGACAGAGCTCGCACACCGGCCTCTCACCGCAGCGGGCCCTCCTTTTCAGGGGAGAGCCTCCCCCGGAGCCCGGCCAGGCACAGGGACATCTCCACTCTGCGGGGTTCAGGGCGCCACCAGGAGGAAAGGGCGCGATGCTCTACAAATGAGGTGCCACTGCAGAGACCATCGGGACTTCAGACCAGAAAGGCAAATAAAAGTCTGAAAAAGCTGCCCTGGCCGGTGTGCTCAGTGGATAGAGCGCTGGCCTGCGGACCGAAGGGTCCAGGGTTCAATTCTGGTCAGGGGCACATGCCCGTGTTGTGGGCTCGATCCTCAGTGGGAAGTGTGGGGGAGGCAGCCGATCAAGGCTTCTCACCATTGATGTTTCTCTCCCTCTCCCTCTCTCTTCCTCCCTGAAATCCATCAAAGGTATTTTTTAACATCCGGGAAAGCAAGCACCCGAGCTGTAAACGACAGCACGTTTCCAGGGTGAAATAGAGGAGGAACCAAGTGAAAACACACAAACCAACATGTCCCGTGCTTTTCTCTTCCATCTGAGACGTTACCTTTCGTCAGAGCAATGGGGCCGAAGTAGTTGGTCTCCATGACTCTCCTGTCCACGTCCACGGGGGTGTCCAGGATGGCGCCGCGGTAGCTGACACCCGCGTTGTTGACGAGCACGTCCACGTGACCGAAGCACTGCAGGATTTCAGCTGCGGCCGCAACGGTGGCCCCGGTGTCCGCCAGGTCGAAGGTCACCGTGCGAGGCGTGTGTGTCTGCACCTGGTCAGACATGACAGAAACGAACACACCTCAGAGCAACAGAGCACAGGCCGCGGGGCACCCTGCCAGAGTTCATGCCTGCCCGGGCGGAAGGAGCACCGAGAGAGGAGGAGCCACACAGACATGAGAAGCCTGGGGACCCGGGGGCCCCAGTGATCAGAGCCTCGGACCGACCCTGTGGTATCCAAGCTTCCAGGCGGCTTCGGCAGCGCCCGTCTGACCTGCCAGAGGACAAGCCTGTCCCCACTACGCGCTGCTGGTCTGGGCGATCCATTCCTGCGACAGACCGCAGAAGTCATCGCAACCCATTGAGAGAGATCCGGGCGATGGCCGAGGTGCAGACAGCAGTTTGCCACAAGGCAGGCGGCCGCAACGGCTGCAGGAAGTCCGTTAAGCTGATGGCCAATGGCTGTCACCGCGACGTGCCATGGGCAAGGTCCCAAGCAGCCCAAGGAAAACAAAAGGGACAGAACCACAGACTCTGGCATCAAGCAGAGCCCGGCCCAGGCCTGCCAGGAGCTCTCCTCCTCCTGCTGCAGAAGCAGCCTCTGCAGCTACTTCAACCCGCCCAGGCCTCTGGCTGTGGCGCCACCCCTGGAATTGCCCCACCCTACCCCCAGGTTTGGGGCCACCTGTGTTCCACCCAGTGGGACCCCCGCCCCTTTCCTGAGGCCCCAGGACCAATGCACCCTGCTTCTCAGGACCTCGGAGAACGGGGCTCCGCTGGAGACAGCAGCCCTGGCAGAGCCACATTCTGGGGCTCACAGAAGACAGGCAGTCCTCCGGTGACGTCAGACTCGACGCACATCGTTTCCCAGTTACATTGCCATCTCCCATTTATTTATTAAAAAAAAAAGTTCCGTCACTTCGACATATGTACATGTGTTTTTTTTAAAAACTTTTTTCTTTTTAAATGTATTTATTGGTTTCAGAGAGGAAGGGAGAAGGAGAGAGAGATAGAAACATCAATGATGAGAGAGAATCATTGATCGGCTGCCTCCTGCACGCCGCCCACTGGGGATGTGCCCGCAACCCAGGTACATGCCCTTGACCGGAATCGAACCTGGGATCCTTCAGTCCGCAGGCTGACGCTCTACCCACTGAGCCAAACCGGCCAGGGCTGTTTTTTATTATTTATTTACCACAAGCAAAGGTCAGGAATTGTTATCTTTCTTTAAAATTTTTTTTACTGTTTCCCTTCATTACTACTGTGTCTGTGCTCCACGTGAGTGACGTAGGTGCTTATGTAGGTGGGTTCTGACTTACGGCGAAAATCGCTGTACGTCGCACCATAGGAACGGATCTCCGACGTAACCCGAGGACCTACTGTATATGATTGTCTAACCACTATGTTGTACTCCTGAAATTAATACAAAATACTGAATGTAAAGTGTAATTGACAAATAAAATTTAAAAGAGTAGCAAGAAAATTAAGTTGTCATACCTCTTGGAAAAGTATAATTTTAAAAAACAACAGAAAATAACAACTGTTGGCAAGTATGTACAGAAATTTGGAAACTTGTGCATTGCTGGTGGAAATATAAAATGGTACAGTTGCTGTGGAAAATAGTTCAGCAGTTCCTCAAAAGGTTAAATAGAAAACTACTATATCCACACATTCCCACTCCTAGGTGTACCAGTTAATAATGTGGATTTTGTAATCAAAGAAAACACGATAATTTCAAGAGAAACATCAAAAGTGCCTTTTCAAAGTAATGTGCATCACCAGCTACACATTTCCCCCATCTTTCAGGTAATTTGTGGATATCGTCCCAGTAAAACTTTTCTTGTTTTGAAGCAAACCATTCAGAGACCCAACTTTCCACTTCTTCGTACATCTTGAAGTGCTGCTCAGAAAGTGCATGTGCCATCGATTGGAACAAGTGGTCATCTGAAGGAGCAAGGTCTGGTGAATACGGCGGGTGGGTTCATACTTCCCAGGCAAGATCTTTTTTTTTTATAAATATATTTTATTGATTTTTTACAGAGAGAAAGGGAGAGAGATAGAGTTAGAAACATCGATGAGAGAGAAACATCGATCAGCTGCCTCCTGCACATCTCCTCCTGGGGATTTGCCCGCAACCCCGGTACATGCCCTTGACCGGAATCGAACCTGGGACCTTTCAGTCCGCAGGCCGACGCTCTATCCACTGAGGCAAACCGGTTTCGGCTGGCTGGAGTCTTCTGAAGCAAATACCAGACACCATGTTGTTTCACCTATAAATTCTTCAATATGTCTCTCCAACAGATAGACTTTTAAAAGCATTGCACGGCACCATTATCATGTGCAACAAAATTAATTCCTTAATCTCTTCTAATGCTCAGTCCACCGTCCCAGCTTTTCTCAAAAAGGTCTTTTTTTAACAGTAGCTTTGTTGGAATCAGGATGGTCCTGAATGTTTTTGGTGCCCACTCTGTGCCAGGTGCTGGGGGACATCGGAGACAGACCCAGAGAGACACTGTCTCTGGCCAAGGGGCTGT